ATTTTGACCATGACAGGGCATGGAAGCTTCCACATGCACAATAGCCCCCATCATGGACAGGCCACCTTCTTGCAGCTGGCATGGCACTGCAGAGAGCAGGGAGGAGAGGCCCAAGAAGCCAAAATCAGCTATTTTCAGGGATGGAGATTATGGCAGGGGAAGTTCTGAGGACCAGTGAGGTCTTGCTTGCTGTCTCACTTGCTGTGGACCAATGTGTGGTCAACAGAATCCAGTTCCATGGGATTTTAATAGGTATCTTGCCCCTTCCCCATACCCCCTCTGAAAAGAAAAGAAAAGAAAGAAAGAAAGAAAGAAAGAAAGAAAGAAAGAAAGAAAGAAAGAAAGAAAGAAAGAAAGAAAGAAAGAAAAAGTACCATTGTCAATAAATAAGGAAAACACTTGAGTGAGCAAGTCAAATAGGTTTCTTTACTGCAAAATTTGCAGAAACTTTAATACACTAACGTGCATATGAAAGGTTTAAGACAGGGCTATAGCGGGCTGGCCAAGTGGCTCAGTTGGTTAAGAGCTTGCTCAAGAGTTTGAGCTCTGAGCAACAGCGGTTCGAGTCCAGCCCGAGCTGAGCAGCCGCTGAGCAGCCGCTGAGCTGCCAACAGGTAGCAGGATGGCTCAGCTAAAAAAAAAAACAAACAACAAAAACAAAACAAAAAAAGACAGGGCTATAGCATACAGAGTCCCCAAGTTCATGTGACCACTCATTAATCTTCTGTGTCAACTAGACTGGACCATCAGGTGCCCAGCTATTTGGTCAAACACTGTTCTGGCCCTTTCTGTGAGGGTGTTTTTGGATGAGATTAACATTTAAATTAGAAGACTGAATAAAGCGGATTGCTCTCCCTGATGTGAGTGGGCCTCATCCAATCAAAGGCCTGCATAGCACATAAAGGCTGTCCCCCTCCCTAGTAACAGAAGAGTCCTCCTGCCTGACTGCTTTCACATTGGGATGTCAGCTTTTCCCTGGCCTTTGGACCCAAACTAGAACATCAGCTCTTCCCAGGGCTCGAACCTGCCGGCCTCTAAAGTAGAATTACACTAAACCACTGGCCTTCCTGGTTCTCAGGCCTTCAGACTTGCTAACACACCCTGTAGATTTTAGGACTTGTATACACTCATAATTATATGAGCCAATTCCGTAAAATCTCTTTGTATATGTATGTGTGCACAGACACACACACACACACACACACACAGACACACACACAGACACACACACACACACACACACACACACACACACACACACAGCCCTTGTCTGTTCTGTTTCTGTGGAGAACCCTGACTAATAAACCACAGAAACCTCCCCTCCCCCGAGAGCATCCTGCAGTCCTTAAACTCCATGAAGCCTTCAAGTAATGCTGCAGTTGAGGGTAAGAATCTAAGGGGGCCCTGAGCCACTGGGGCTACCGGCAACCTGCACCCAGGGGTGCTCTGTGAAGGGATGGATCACTATAGTCCCCCTTCATCATGGTCTCTTCAATCTGATGTCTTCCAGGCTGAAAAGACTGGAGCTGGGATTAAGAAGCCATGCGCTTTCACGAATGACAATTCCCATTCTGCTTCCAATTTTCCTTTTTTGTTCCCTCCTTTGCCACAAGTTCAGTGCTTTTCTCCTGACAATCCTCCCGTGTGACTCTCTGGGGCTGTGCTGGCCACAAAGGTGGCCTGGCCCTGCACTACATTCACAACAAAGGGTGACAGCAGCCTTTCTTCTCAGACAAGCAGCTCCCCGCAGGAGGCCAGACCTCAGAGCAGAATCCAGGGAGGGTGAGGAGGACGGCTCTCTGAGCTTCTCACCACAGCGGAGAAGAAATCTACTGTCTCTGGGACGTGGAGCCAGCGGCCCTCTGAAGGGCACGAAGAGTAGAGCCCCATGGAGGGGGAGACAGGGCCCCATCTCACAGGGGCCTCCCCTTTGAAGGACAGCACGCGGGCACACTTATTTCCCGTGTCTGCACTTTCTGTCCTCAGGTTCCCCACGGAGTCTCTGGTGGAACTTGCGGACACCTGGCTCTGGGTTCTAGGCCAGGGGTTCCCCCATCCTTCAGTCTCAGGTTAAACCCCACTCCACCCCACCGCCACCAAATCTGGGAACCAATACAGGGTTCACTATTTTGTCAAGTGAGGACATTAAAGAAGAAAAAAACCCCGAATATAACCATCATTTCATAAAAGAGAAGCCATTTTAACAGCCCACGTGAGGAAGGCCGCACTCAGAAAAAAGGACACCCTTCCACTTGGCGCATTTCTAGAAGCCTCATGGTACCGCTGTTACTTTTCCAGTCTTGTTCTAATCTCCAGCAGTCTTCAGACTGGCATTTGAGGTTCATTTGCCACAATTCAGAGTTGTCCCCAAGTGCTCTAGCTTTCTCCCCAAATTATGTTCCTGACTTGCTATTTTCTTATTCAAAACTTACTCTAAATCTCTACCTTTCCCAGAACGTGTCTTCAAAAGTTCTCCCAGAAGCAAAGTGCCAGGGGATGGCAGTACAAAAAGGGGGATTACGTTCTCACTTTTAGGGCTCCCACTGCCAGGCTAATTCTTAAAAGCAATTGATGTACTGGGGATGGGGAAGGTGGGGTTTTCCTTCTCCCCTTTTGCTTCCGGCTAAACTCTGGGAAGCTCTGGCTCATTTTATCCTCCTGGCCAAAGCAGCATGGGTTCTGCTGGGTAATTTGCAGGTTTAGCTGGTAAGACGAGAAAGTTATAGGCATCTTGCTGCGCCATTACTTATCCTGCATGGAGCAGGAACTGAGCCTGACCCACTGGCTGCCAGTTACCACATCCCCCTGGATACCTGCATGAGCCCCTACTGAGTTTGCTCCACGAAGTGGTGGCAGCTGGTCAGGAGCAGCGGGGTGTGACTGTGAAGTCAGGAGACCAACTGTGACCAACTGATATTTATACACCCTGGTGAGTTCTGTCCTCTTCAACGTGGTCACCTTGGGCAGCTCAGTTCCCGGGGATGCTGTCTTTGGTCAAAGCATTTTTTGGAGCTCCTTTTGGGCACTGCCTTTATAGCCAGATTATCTGAGAAACAGAGTCACATCGTCACCTTTCTTTGTAATCAAAAAATTGCTTTGCTCAGCTTTGTCACCCAGCTACTTCCCTACACTTGCCTCCAAACGACCTTGACTGCATTAAAAATTAAATCTACCCCAAAGGAAGAGAAGGTTTTCCACCAGAGAGCATAGTCAGAGAACAGGATATGGACTCTGCCGGCCTCCCAAGGAGGAGTGATGGCGCCGCTAACACACGTCTCCCAGGAAGCCAGGTCTCATGGCTGCTGGAGACGAACCCTCACATATATCCAGTGATCTGGGTGCTATTATCCCCATTATGCAGATGAGGAAATGGAGGCTCAGAGGCTAAGTGGCTTGTCTAAGATCACACATCTACGAAAGGGGCCACTGCAGGGCCTGCCTCAGACTCTTCCCCAAGGAGCTTCCTGTAGGATTGGTCAAAGCACTACATCTGTTTAAATAAAGATATGGGCTCTGATTTAGAAAAGCCATCAGCCAGCCGAAAAATCATCCAGTGTCCTCCCCCATCCCGCGGCGCACAGTCCCTTCCCTGTTTCCTCCCAAATGACAAGCATCCCCTGTTTGCACCCATCTGTAGGTAAAGAAGGCAGAGGAGCCAGGGGATACAGAGGGTTTGGTGGTAACTTCCATCCCCAAATTCTGACTTCAACAAGACACTCTGGGGCCTCAGGTCTCCCTCTGGAAAATGCCCTCAACAAAAGAGCAGAGGCCGAACTGTATACAAAGCAGGATGGCGGTGGTGAGATCGAGTTTCAGAGTTGGGTGGACCCTACTTTGGATCGGATTCCACTGTCCACTAGCTGAACAACCACATAGCCTCCCTGGGCGCCGGTTTCAGCATTTGTACGAGGTGCCGGAGAGCTTCTACATCCGAGGGCTGTTGTGATGGTTCAGTATGTGCCTCTGGTGCCTAGACTGGCTGACTGTGAATGACATGCCTGCCACTCACTGGCCCCTTCCACTGATGAATGCCAACTTACTGCCTAGGGCGGTGCCTCCGGCCACCTCCCCCACAGCCCTGCCCTCCTCCCACCCACTGGATTTGCCAAGGCAGGAAGCAGCCAAGCAGAGACCACCCAGTTTCTTGGCTGCCTTTAAAACCTGGTGACATAAACAGTGACAAAAAGGAGAACAAAACAATTTCTAATGAAGAGAAGAAAGAATACGGGGGAAAGGGGGTGGGGGGGAACCATTTGTCACCCATAGGGATGTCTGACATAATGGACTCTGGAGGCAGATCTGAGTTCATATCTCAGCTTTGCCTTTTAGAAGCTCTGTGACTTTGGGGATGCTACTCAACCTCTCTGAGCCCCAGTCTTTTCATCTGTAAAATGAGGGAAATGTATGTGCCTACTCTGTAGTACAGCTGAGAGTCAAAGAAAAAAAATAAGTGAAAGCATGCAGTGCTATGTGTGGCACAGAGTAAACACATAGAGATGTGTTAGCTATTAAGGTCATTGAACCAATTTTCCAACAAGTACAAACTGACTCAGGAGGCACTGCCCCACGTTGGAAAGATCAGAAGTGAAAAAGTGAGATGTCCAGTGTGACCCCACACAGGCCCGCCAGCTGTCCCCACTGATATGAAAAAAGGAGGTTTATTTTAAAGGGGAAAGTGTACAACAGACAGCTCAATCTCCTGCCAGATGATGTATCATCTACCACATTCCAAACAGGTGCCCTTTCCACTTACATACCTCTAGCGACGCAGGACTCACTGCTCAGAAGGTACTCAGTTCGCCTCTGAGTACCGAACATCTAGGTTAGTCCAAGACCCTCTACTTTACACAAAGTGACTTTACCCCAAATAATTCTATCCTGGAATTACTCTAAAGCTAGGACCTCACCTTCTCAAAGAAAACATGGATCTGTGGCTAAAACTGAGATTCCCAGGGCCAAGGTCAAACTGTGCGCATTTGCTGACACCCCAGATCGGGTACCTGGCACACTGGCGATTTTGTGCAGGAAGAGTCAGACTGCAGGGGAGGAAGGACGTTCTGCTGCCTGGCCTGGCCCTGCAGGACTGGCCTGTCAGGTGGGAGGAAGAGGGTCTTGCCCTCTCCGTGGTCCTGGGTTCCCCTCCGCAAGCCCCTTCCCAAGGCATCCGTAGAACAGGAGGCCCCAGGCCTCACAGGCAGCTTCTGGAGTCGTGAGTCTACCTGTGACCTTGAATCCAAAGGCCCTGCCAAAGAAATAACAATGAGAAATGTCACCAGACACAGCTGTCTTTGATGTGTCCCGACCTGGGGAATGGGTGTCAGAAGACACACGGAAAAGCCAGATGGTATTTTCCAGGGTCATGGTCCACCCTGGAGAGAAGCCCAAGGCCCCTTTTCATGTCCTTCCCTGAGTCAGTCCATGCCAGGGCGTCTGGGGTGGGAGGACAAGAGGCAGTGGAGACACAAGATTAATGGCTTCCTAGGCAGGGGGGCAGCCGCCCACTCGTCCAGTCACGATCCTCCAGTGACTCCCTCGGCCTGGCTCTGTGAGGCGTGAAGTGTAAAAAGGAGCTGGTGAGAGGCCAACCCTTGCCCAGCTGGGCTGCCTCAGCCACTGTCAGCACCGCCACTGGGAGCCCAGCTTTTGGGCTCAGCCCCCATCGGCTTTGACTTTGTCACTGCTGCCCGCAGAGGTATCGCTGAGCTTGGTGAGAACTGCGCTGCAGGGGACCAGGGGACGAGGGGGAGCAGGTGGCAGGGAGCCGGGGCAAGGACAGAGCCCCGTTTCTAGTAAGTCTGTCTGGAACACTGGCTTCCACATCTGTAGAAGGACCCTCTTTTATTTCGATGCCTTTTTTAAAGAAGGGTTTGATAGTTTGCTTGCATGCTTTGGCTTCCTTAGCTTTTAAATTAACATTGTTTTTATTCTAGAATACATACCTATATGATCAAAAGGGTAAAGTCAAAAGTAACAATCTCTCCCAGTTCCAGGATTCTCAAGCAGATGCCCCAGAGGTGGTGACTCAAATGACAGCTTTTTGTGTCTCCTTCCAGAAGTTTCCAAAGCTTTTGCCCAGCATTTGAAACGTAAAAACCATCAATGTGATTTTACTATATATTCTGTTCAGCCACCTGCATTTTTTCCACTTAACTCTATGTTGCTTATATTTCGGTATCAGTCCAGATAGACCAATTGAAAGCCTCTTTTTAATGCCAAAATATTCTTGATCCTCAGTATCATAATCTCGGTACCTTTATTCTCCATTAGTCGGAAAAAAAACCATAATAAACTCACAATACAGTAATACTTTAAAATGAATTTGCAAATGACCACAGCAATGCTTACAGAGAATGCGTGGGCACCACTGACGCTGTGAGGTCCTGACAATATCCCTGTGTGAGCATTTTACAAGCATTATTTTATCAAATCTTCCTATAATCCTATAAAGGGAAGATTATTATTCCCATTTTTTCAGATGAGGCCAGTGTGGCACAGGGAGGTTAGGGGACTTGCCCAAGCCTACACAGCAAGGAGATGGGGCAGAGTTGCCAGGTGAATTCAGATGTGTCTGACACCCAAGATCCCACCCTCTCTACCACACCACATAGGGGTTGCCTGTCCTACACGTCCATCTCGTGTGAGTCATGAGTCAGGAAAGGACCTCTCTCCTTCCTCCAAGGAGCCCTCCTCCAGCTGGGCCAGCTGTGTTTATACACACAGGAACAGGGCCAGACCCTGTCACTGACCTCAGATCAGTTAGGTACTGACCTTGGACATGGGCTGCAATAGCCAGGATGTTGCCTGGAAATACCCACAGGGCTGGTAGCGGGGCAATGCTTTCCTATTTTCGTGCCAGCCTTGGGGTGAGGCAGTAGGAAAGCCAACGTGAGTCAGAGTACGTAATCTTTATTGTCACGAAGCTCATATCTCCTGTTGTCCCCTCCACACACTCACTGGGGGAGGAGCTCCTTACTGTGTCTTCATTTTAGGCACCAAGAGCAGTGGGCAAGGCTAAAGAGATGGCCCAGGGAGAGCAGCGTGAAGAGGGTCAGGCCTGCGTCGGGGGACGATGGCAGAGGAACCATGCGGAGGAGGAGGCCACCTTGCCAGGAAGATCAGCTCATCTTTCAGCCTACCAGTTTCCATCTATTGAAACTCTTTCAATTCTTTGATTTATTTATTTATTTGTTGAAATTGGAATTGTTTGCGTCAGTCTGTCCAGCCCTCCTCTGGTTCTGTCCGGCTCCCGCAGTCTTGTTGCCTGGCTTGGCCTGGGGCCAATGCGACAGTGGAACGTAGGGTTTGGGATCTGCATTACTCAGCACTGAGGCTCACAGTTCAAGTCCTCACAACCACAAGGCCATGGGGCCCCTACTGAAGCTGATTGTAAACAGGATTTACATCCAGAAAGACAGGCAGCGTGCTGCAAAGTGCTGGGTGGGGTCAAGAGGCTGGGGCCTGGGCTTCAATCTGCACATGAGCTGCAGGACTGTGCAGAGCAGGTCCTCATCCACTCAGGGCCTCAGTTCTCCCATCGGTAGAATGGGGGCTCAGATGCGGATAAGCCTCAGGTCTTCCCCAGCCCCCACATCCCACCTTCTCCCACTGGAAAGTAGAAAGTCCACCCTTGGGGGTCTCCAGGCGTGTGTCTTTAGAACAGAAGGTGTGCAGAGAGGAGGCAAAAGGTGTGAGTAGCCGCAAGAAGCACTTTGCACAGTTCCTGGCTCATAGTAGGCATTCTGCAGATGTTAGCAATGATTACTGTTGTCATTATCAGCAGGAAGAGAAAAATGCAGGGACACAGGCCTAGGGTGACAGAGGCAGAAATACAGGGCTAGGAAAAGAGTATGATGGAGAAAAAGCAAAGAGCTACGGAATCAGAGATTCTGTCAGCCTGCAGGGGCCAGGTTGACCTGTCATGGCTACAATCTCTGGCCTCACCTGTGTTGCCGAGAGCTAATATCAAGGCATAAGTTGGAATCTAAGTGTTGCCCCTGAGAAGACTGCAGCTATGGAGACCCTGGCTTGAGCCTCTCTAGAGACTGCAGCTGCCCACACACAGCCACACCCTCGGCATGGGCAGTGCCCAGGGGACCCACCTCCTGGCCTGACCCCCGTGCTCCCCGTGGGCATGGCTTGGCTGCCAAGGGTCCCTGCGTTCTTGGACTGCTCTGATACCATGTAACTTTTTCCTTTGCAAAAAAGACATCTCATGCCATGTCGAGATGTCATAAAATGTAAACTTTTCTAGAAAACTACATTTACAGACCTCGAAAATGATCCATTGCCGGACCACGTGTAACTACGAGTATTTTTTATTACTATTACCACAGGAAAGTGCCTGGCAGAGTCAAGACTGAGGAGGTTGTGAGGGCTGGAGGGGGTGAGTAGGGCTGATGACCACGACCACACATGGGGTGTCTAGTGGAGCCATTGGGAACACCTTCCCAGGGCAAAGAGAGCCTTTTTGCTGAGGGGTGCCTGCCCCTAGCGAGGGGAGGTCAGAGCCCCTAACGCTGTCCCAAGTCAAGCCAACAGGGTCTCCTCCTAGGACTGCCCTGCTGGTTAGGTGTGAAGCTTGGGGAATCAGGGAGCACAAGCGAGAGAAAACCTCAAGCCCCACCCCAGGCCTGCTAGATACGGGCCCCAGCACCACACAGACCAGAGCAGACCTCCATCTTCACCGTGTCCCGAAGGCCACGTGCGGGAAGCTGACCTCCAGCACTTCCCTGCCCCACAGACCTGCACAGCGGCCCTCCGAGGGGCTGACCACAGGCCCTGAGTTCCAGCTCAAACACCCCGACCACTCTCAAGCAGCTCATCTCCACAAGGGCCAGTGCCATTCGGGGCAGCTGACCAGGGAGCAGCAGGGGGTGGAGAGGGGACTGTGCATCACTCCTCTTTCCTGTTTGGCAAGGGGAGGCGCGCCCCTCAGCCCAGCACTCACAGGCACTGACATCCCCATTTCCAGGTGCCCTGGCCCTCTGCACAGCTGTCCTGGGAAGAGGACCTGGTAGCAGCCTCATGAGCCACATGCCCTTCTCAGCGGCTGTGCTCCCCCTTCCTGAGCCCAGGGTCAGCTTGGGACCACATTCATGTGCCCAGAAAAGTGTCAGGAGGGTTGGTCTGGGACCACAGGATCTGTGAGAGAAATGGGCGGTTCTCTAGGCCCATTGGGGTTCTGAGATATTTCAGGCAGACTTGGATTTGCATCTGGCTCTTTAAGTGGATCCACTGTGTCATCCTGGGCAAGTCACTCAACCCCTCTGGACCTCAGATTCCTCCTCTGTAAAGTGGGGATAGGACCTTCTACATGGAAGTGTTACTGTAAAAATGAAGAGATCATGCCTGTGAGCACCCCAGCAAAGGCTAACACAGACGTTCCCTTTCCATCCAGTTCCCCCACACGTGGCTAAGCTCCAGCACTCCCCAGAATCTACTCACAGAGGCCCTTAGAGCCCAGGGGCCATGTGACACTCTCCCTCCAACATGCCCCTTCCAGCCAGGGCCCCAGGTTGCCCGCGCCCACACCCACACACCACCTGGCACCTTGAGTCTGGGAATGCAGGCTCCAAGCATGTCTCTCCTCCATGGGCATCCTGAATTAGCAGCAGCAGCAACAGCAGGACCTGGGTGCCCCTTCTGCTCTTTGCTTACTGAGAGCTCTGGGGGACCCGCTAAGAACAGCAAAACAGAAAAGCAGGGCTGAAGAGTTATCAGGTTCCTCAGGCTGCAGGGATGGTGCTGGGTAGACAGAAACACAGCAGCCTTTAGAGAACCAGGGCATGTGTCTGTCAGAGGGCTGCTCCCAATGTGTGAGTCAGGGCCTGGGACCCCTCAGCTCCCTCTAGACTCTGAACCCCTTGGATACTCACCCTCACTCCCTCATGCCATGTGAGCCTTAGTGTGAATTAGAAAAACTAAATTCAGACCTCACCCACCCCCTCAACCATGCACTCTTGGTTAGTGAACAACCTGTACAACTGTACAGGTGGCCCACCAGCAGTTTAGCCCAATGCACAAATTTTCTCAGAATGTATCCAAGGTTTCACCTCATATTTGCTGAAGGCTCCTCCATGGCCAGCCGGCCCTATGCTGCAGACTCACCATGATTCAGACCCAAGCCCTTGAGGAGCTCAGGGTAAAGGGACGACGCTCAAGGAGAGGTGGGAGAGATGGTTTAATTCTCAAGGCTGCCTCCTCCTTGGCAAGGCCATTTCCAAGAACGTTTCTCTACAACCAGGGGTTCAAAGAATGACATGAGACCCCAGCACTGAGATGCACCCTCTGACCTGTAAAGCTGGGCAGCCCTAGCCATTACCTTGTGTCTGTAGGCTTGCAGTTCACTTACCGCAGGAAGTTGGCTGGGCTGGCCAGGAGCTGAGAGTCACTGGGCCGGGCCTCCTGTTGCCAAAGGTCTGAGCCTGAAGCAACTTCCAGGTCACTGCCAGTGCAAAGACTGCCTCCAGGAGCCAGAGTGAGCTGGGGCCAGCAGGACCTGCCCAGGAGGGGCTTGGGAGAGCTCTAGCCCACTCGGACCCTCCAGGTGCTCTCAACTTCCCACTTTCCTGTGGCATCCACAGCAACTGCAGCTCAGCTTATGCAACCCCCAACTCAAGCTACTTACAGCCTGTGCGCTAATTTGGGAATGGTCTGGAATATTCCCTTACCTCCCAAAGCCAGGGAGCCCTTGCCTTCACGGGCATGGCTGCACCTCAACCCCCACCCCCTGCCGCCCCACCCAGCATTTTCAGGGAGAAGAGCTGCCCCCTCACATGGTCTTAGGGACCCGCCACAGCCACCTGCAGAGCCTCTCTTCACCCTGAAGCTTGGCTGTTTTCAGCATCTGCTCTGACCTCACCTGTGTCGGCCTCACCAGTTCAGCCCTATCGGCAGCTGCTATGGCCCTGATTCCTCTCCTGGCCTGGAGGCTTCAGCATACCTCCCCACCAGCGCCGTTCCCATTGGAAAACTAGTGTTTTCTGCTTCCTGCTTTTAGCTACTACACTTAAACCCCACAAGCAAGAGTCCAGCAGGGAAAAGTAAGAACTTTACACTCTAGGCATAAAACTCACATTCCACTTTGGGAAGGTCACCTGTTTCGATAGAATTTGGATAGGGAGATGCCTGGAGCACTGAGGAAGAACTACTAAAAAGAGCCAACATTTATTGAGCACTTACTGTGTAGCAGTTTCTGCTTTAAGCACTTTATGTTGTTCAATTTTTCATCTTTACAACAATGAGGGGATGGATCACTGCTGATGAGTAACCTGAGGCACAGAGAAGTGAAGTCACTTATCCAGGGTCACAGAGCTGAGATGTCACACAGCCAGGCAGTGGTGTGGTGGTAAATATTTCACAACTGGCTGGAAGGAGGGGACTGATTTGAAGAATTTGCCCATTTCCATGGTGTAAAGACTTCCATCACGGCCAGTTTCAAGCTACCAATGCGACATCACTGACATTGTACTACTGAGAAGAGATAGGCACTCACAAACCATCAGGCAGTGCTTCCGCCACACAGATATATAAGATGTAAATTTACTTCAAGAACATAAAGCTACAGGCACCAAAATATTAGGAAGTAATGAGATTTGAGTACTTACTACCTTTGTTTTTAATGCAATGCATTTAATTGTAAGTATATATAATTTCATTTTTAATAATGGTTCTGTTTAACCATCACATCACAAAATTCCTGAAAACTTAACTGGCTCTCCCAAGCAAGTTGAAGCTGGTTCCAGCACACCACTGGGGCCAGGATTTAGACACAGTCAGCCTGGAGCCAGAGGTGTCCTCCTAACCACTATACTATCCTGCCCCGGAGAAGGACACGGGTGCCCTCCTAGCCAGCCAGCTCTGCCCCTGTCTATCAACAAAGTAACAGACACCACAGAAGCAGGTCTCTCCTGACCACCTTTTCCATGGCCTGCTATCTCCCTCGATGCCCCTGGGGTTCCCCCTTCCCCCCTTCCCATCTTCCCAGGTTAGCTTCACTAACATACATTAAGTACCTACCCTGTGCCAGGTGGTGTTCTAGGCCCTGGTGACACAGAACCAAGATTATACGCTAGAAGCTCATGATCTAGTGGGAAGAGATAAGCATATATTCAAATCTAACAGATTACAACCCAGTCAGGGCCAGATTACAGCTATAAGGAGAGAGATTAATTCCCCCTGGGAGGGATCTGGGATGGCTTTATCCAGAGGCGCATATGTGAGCAGGGTTTTAAAGGGTCAATAGAAGTTCGCCAGGCTAACTGGGGACTGGGGGTTAAGCAATAGTACAAATAGGAAAGAATAGACCTGAGGTATATATTTAGAAAAAAATTGTACAGACTGAGGCGGGGATTGGACAACGAAGAGAGAGAGAGAACTGAAGATACACTCCATGTCTTGGCTGGGGTCCCAGCATTAGGGGAGGCAGACATAAGGAACACATGGGGAGAGGCAGGCTTGGAGCGCCATGCCGCAATTCTATTTTGTATATGCTGGTGTGAGGTACCCTGGTGTATCTGAACCAGTCACCAGTTTGGCACTGAGATTCAGACAGAGGGGTCATTGGGGAGTGGGCAGTGAGAGAACAAAGGGAGGGCATGAAATGGGAAAAAAATACAGGCTGAGAAGAGAGCAATTCAGCTTCAAAATATATTTATGACAGACTCAGAGGGAGGCCTGGAGGGATTGGACCATCAGGGGGATTCTGGAGGTTGGAGAATGACGTCAGGAAGATGAAAAGCTTCTTTCTCTGGCCTTCCTCTGTACCGATGACAAAGGCTGGGGAGAGAAGAGAAGCCGAACTCACTGTGGCAACTCTTTCATCTGCCATTTCAGAAACAAGACATGGGGCCCAATTTTCCCCTTCTATCTGCACCCCAAACTTTACCTACATATCCAACCCACACAGCTTTAAAGAGGTGTTCTGAAATATGGAGTGAGAAAGCTGAAATTCCAGACACAATGAGTGACATACACCACGGTGGCTAGGAGAGCAGGCTCACAGCCAGGCTTCCCCTGAGCAAATCCCAGCCTTACCAGCTGTGTGACCTTGGGCAAGTGACTTACTGTCTCTGTACCTCAATTTCCGTACTTGTCAAATGGGTCTGGTAATAGGACCTACTTTGTAGGGTTGTTGTGAGGAAGAAATGAGTTAATAGATAAAATGTTCTTAGGACAAAGCCTGGCATATAGTAAGTGTTCAATAAATGTCAATGATTGCTATTATTGTTATTACAATCGCCCACCTCTGACACTACAGTTTATTTTTATCTCCCCTAAACTTTTCTTCCAGCAAGCCCTAAAACGATCCTTAGGGACTTAGGCGTCTTGGAGAAGAGAACCTAAACATAAATACTGGGCTCTGAAAACGGTGCTGGTTGTGTTGCTTCTGCATATCCAGCAGCTGGAGGGCCTTCCTCTGATGGAATGAGGCCTGAACACTTGCCAGGCTGTCTGGAGGTCAGGCAAGCCACAGAAGCAGTGAGCGTGTGTTGTGTATGCGCGTGTGCGCGCGCGTGCTCAAGCGAATGGAGCATGGCTCCGAAAGCCAGTTCCCAAACCAGAGCTGCTTTCTGAAGCAGGAGTCGTGTACGCATTCCTCCAGGATCCTGCATTTCTGCAGGCTCACCCACTGGGATCTTCCACACTGCTTCCCACCCTGGGAAGTCTCCGTAGTGGCCCATGAGGTGCAGTGCCATGGATGGCCTGTAGGGGGCTCTAGAGCTCTTCCATTTCCCATACTCCGGCGGGTGAAGGTACCACGCTTAAAACAATGGTATTGTTTACGCGGGCTGTGCGACTTGACTGCTCATAGAGGTGAGTGAAGTGAAGCTGGGGTTCGCTGGTTCTCCTTTAGTGAGCCCCAGTTCATCCATGCTCCGAACTGGCTGTTTCAGGCTTAGCCCCTTGTCCTCCCTACTCCACCACCTAACACTGATTGGGGTGGTTTCCCCACAGCAGCGGAAAGCATCCCTTCAAAGGGTCAGCCAGCCTCCTGTCCTTGTGTTGGAAGGCAGGGAGAGGCCGCTGCTTTGGCTTCCAAGGTGCAGCAAGGGTAGCTTTCAATTGCCAGTCTCAAGCAGTCCAGCCCCCAACCTGCTTGTCAGGGAAACATCTGGCCCAGACAGCTTCCTGAAAAGACTCAGCTTACCCTGCTCCTCCCTAAGGCAAAATTCAATAGCTCCGGGTGCTATGTTAGGAGACCTCATTCCACAGATTTACTTACCTAATTGCCACTCTATCAATATGTCTGGATGACGGAAATCGCTTGTACCCACTAACTTCTAAAGACATGGCCAACCTTAAAAGTTAATATTGGCAAAAAGTTAAAGATAGTCATTTAAATAACAATTTGAAAACACTAAACCCATAATTGTTCTTTGGGGCTTTGCCCAAAGCAGAAAAAATATGGGAAATGTGCTTCTTAATCAGAACAACTTAAGAAAAACACCCGTGGGTAGGGTTGCCTGACTTAGCAAATATGGCATGGGACATACTTATACTAAAAAATTATTCGCTGTTTATATAAAATCCAAATTTAGCTGGGTGTCCTTTATTTTATCCGACAACTCTACCCACGGGGGCCTGAGGATATAGGGATTCATTCAGAGGAAACTTCCTATTCATCACTTCCACCCCAAATCATAATTCCTTCTCTAATCCTCTAGTGTTACATATGGAAACCCAAGCTACACTGATCGCATTAAACAAAGTAATCAGTTCAAGCACCCCAGTCTCACTGCTGAGGACTCCCACTGTGAGGTTATGTCAAAGGAATGAAAAGTAACTTCCAAAAGATAACATCAGGAAATTTATAAGAACATCGAACATTTAATGTACACCCACTATGTGCCTGGAATTTGTGAATTACTTCTGTTTAATCTTCATAATAACCCTGGGACATAGATACTATTAGCAGAAACTAAAAAGAGTATCTACACGTCTAATTTCTGTAGTTCTTGCAGAGGCGTGTAAATTTTGAGTCAATTACTTCCCAGGGAAGGAAAGGGGAGGGAAATCAAGGAGGGCTTCATCCTATCAACAGACTTATTCCCAACGCAAGGCCAGGTCTGTTGCTATTTCATTATGTGCCACTTACACAGGAAACTGTCTTAATTTCAGTGAGTCATCACTGGCTTGGGATATGGGATTGTGGGAAAGAAGTGGGTGGGAAACCCATAACAGTCTTCAGTAAGTTGGCTGAACCACTGAGGGAGGTGTGTTACACCTCAGGATAATAAACAGCTCATTTGCTGGAAATAAAGGCACACTCAAGCCATCCCAACACTCAGTGACAATGACACGCAGATTCCAAATGTTCTCTGTAAGAAAAAACACCCTTTCTCCTAATCCTTCTTAAACTCAACAAGACTGATTGGTTTTTATTATTCATGAATTAATTTTTTACTCAGAGTCCAACAAGGGAATTGAAGCTATAACGTTTCTCACCAATTGAGAGGGAAAAAAGCAGATCTCGGCCTGAGCAGGGCGGCCAGACTCTTGCTGAGATCCTTGGGGGCTGGATGGTTTGTTTGTTAAATCAGTTAGTAATCAATTAATAATCTAAAGCTTGGGGGGATTTTTTAGGAAATAAAAACGAGTAAGAATATTAAGGTAGAAAAAAATACAGACAGCTGAGGGACCCTAGTATATTAGGTGCTTCCTATTATATTAGGCTGTTGTATTAGGCTGCCTCCTATTTCCAAGGCATATCTATCTATCTATCTATCTATCTATCTATCTATCTATCTATCTATCTATAGATAAATACATATGCCTTGGAAATAGGAGGCAGCATAAAATAAATAAATAAATATATATACACACATATATATGTGTATATATACAGACACACAGAGACACACAGACACACACACACACACACACACACATGGTGCCAAAAAAAATACATACACATTTTAAGAAAGGAAAAAAACTGTATTAAAATTGTAATACTCAATATACACCGGTAATAAAAGATGAATACAAGTCGTGTGTATACATTTTTTTGGCACCCCCGGTATATATGTGTGTATATATTATACATATGTATATAAAAGGGGAGTGAGAGAAGAGATAACAAAGGCAGAACCGATTTCAAAAGTAAGCGCAGATGAGCAGTCTGCAGATGAGCAGGTCTGGCCTGGGAGTCAGCATAAAGGGTCACAAGAGGGGTCACAGGAACCCAGAGGGTCAGCTCCCTGATGCCCTTCCTCTAATCTCTGACTCCAGAGGGCAGGTTGAGGTACCCAGGAGCAGGGGACCACAGACTCAGAGAAGCTGAATGGCTGAGAAGGCGATCAAGGGTGGCGAGGTGACTTTGCTTCTCCACACAGTTCTTTTCCCAGCTATTCACATGCGCCAAGTCATAACCACCCCCTCCCCCCTTGTCCTCTGTGTGCCTTTGGTCTGCAAACCGCTCCTGAGATCACGGCCAGAGAAACCAAGGAACTTGAGGGGATCGAGAGGCAGAGCAGGCATGGGCCTCAGAAGCTAGTGTCAGTGGGGTGAGACCTGACACAGCATCCTTTACAAGACATATTGCTCCCTTCCTAGTTCAAAGGCAACACACCCAGGATTTCTCAGAGGTGGGGGCATGGGGCTAACACCGTCTTCTCCTCTATCCTTCAGAGACCAGGCAGCTTTAGCTCCCGGATTCATTTAGACGTGCAAACCTGAAGCCTTTGCATGTTTATGTTTGCAGAAGAACATTTATGTTTGGGGTCAAGACACAGCAACCCTCCTCCAGTTACTATCAGAAAACTGGTTATGAGAATTCCTTCGCGCTTTGGGAGAAGAAGAATCTGCAAGCTGTTATTACCATTATCATAAGTATTATAACCATCGCATTATTGCTATTATTTCTGTAAAACCGGTGTTCTTTCTGCCAAAGCTTGTTAGCCTGACTGCTTAGGTAGACAATGTCAACACACCCAAGAGACGAATGACAAAGAGTGAGGCCAAAAGGAAAAGGATAAATACTGCATTCTGCATGTGTGCTAAAGGGATGTTGCACCATCAAAGGGAAATGTTTTCTGCCGATCGATTAGGAAGGCAAAAACTAAAGGATACATCCGCTCATTTACT